CCCCCCCCAACCTTTTCAATCAACATCTTAATAGGTAAATGGATTCTACAATAATCCCCCTAAAAGATAGCCAAATTTGTTCTTTGAACCAATAGTTATTCTCATCTACATTGTCATTATAGCCTACGTCATTTCTAAAACTAAGATTCTTACAGGATAATTAACATTTCTATCAAAATAAAGAGTGACAAACCATCCACACTATAAATTCCACTAAATAATCTAAAGATAATTCCTTCATCTTTTAGTGATCCACTGATCTCATCTCTATATAACAGAACTTGCTCATTTTCATCTTCAATACACTTCACTTGATTTAGATCTCTTCCCCTGCTAAGATATCTGGGAAAACTTTTCCATGCATCCTAGTTCTTAAATATTTGTAAAATTTCTCTCATTAAACTTCTAGATCTCTCGTCTACACTCTCAACTCACTGTGAAGCACAAAAATGCAAAAGACGAACTACTTGAGAGTATCAGCCAATGGGAATACAAATCAATATCCACCCTCTAAAAGTCTAGTTGCATACAGCCTATCTAAACCTTCAAATATTTGTACCACCAAAAGTAACATATAAACATCACAAAAGTCAATGCTAGCAAAGTAAACTGGTATTCACATAACCTGTGGTTTCCGATGCCAATGAAATCCGTTATTTACATTCCTTTGTTCTTTCCCCAAATCCTCATCCTCAGGAATGGCATCAAGCATCCCCTGCCTCAAAATCTTTCGCTTTGGACTGATCAAAATCATCTTTGTTAATATAACAGGCATTCCCGAGCAGCAACCTGCTACATAAACCTCTAAAGACAATCAACAACCTGCATATGGAGGAAAACCATCACATATCCATAAAGACAATCAATTCCATTTTATTTTATTATTATTTTTATTTTTTTTGTAATTAATTAAAAACAAATTTTAATTGAATTTAAATATGCTCCAAACAGGGGCTCATAAAGAAGCTCTATTCTCTACTTACTACCAGAAAAAATAAACAAATGTAAGCACCCCAATCACTGTATGAACTATGGAAATCAAAATGAATCCCTTAAATCTCTCAATTTTAAATGAATCGAAATTGCAAATCAAGAAAAGTTAATGACATCAAAAGAGGTCAAGTAACGTAATCATTCAAATAGTGAATTGATTTTCAACGAATTAGTATCAAATAGAGAATACCTGAAATATAAACAAGAAAAAAGGCCAAATTACCTAGCCTACACTGACCATGAGTTGCGATTGTGAAGTTGAGAGTTAAAAGATTCAATGCAATTTTGACACGAATTTTCACCTCTTCACGAAATTTCCCAGCCAATTTGAGGAGCCGAACCATCAGTGCCGTACCTGTGTTTCATAGGGCCTGAGGTGAATTTCAAAATTTGGGCCCCTAAACTGCAGTAAGCCATAAATCGTAAAACTCCATTAACAAGATGCCAAACATAATAGCATCTTGCTCATTCACAGGCTGCAATTTTAGAAGTTTGAGAGTTTAGGGTAGGAATAGATCAATGTAAGTAAAATCATATGAAGCTCTATTCCATGGACTTTCATAGATAGTGACCGCATAAGTTATAGGTTTAATAAGTTGATAGCTAAGCACAATTCTGTGAAACAAATAATTATTTAAAGGACCAAACTTACTTAAAATAAGTGCTTGTTTGGAAGAGATTTTGATAATTGATTTTTTGACCGTTAGAGATAAAGTGGATCCTATCTGTGAAAAAAAAATTCAAAAATGACGACTAAAAGAGTGAAACAACGGTCAAAAAATTAATATTAATTGGATTAAAATCTCTACCAAACTTGCTCTAAATAGAAAAAGTAGTTAAATAAACAATATGAAAACCCTTACCTCCAAACAGAGAATGCTTTTCAACATTTCTACCAGGTTCTTGAAAATTTCAGGTGATGTCTCTCCTTCCAACTCTAGGACAAGAATCCTGATATACATATAACAGAGATAAGTAAGCTAGGCAAATCGGCATTTTAAGCCTAGCCTAGCCTTTCTCAATCACTATGCAAATCAGTGTATGCTATTTTTTATGCTTGCAAACCAAAGGCCAGCAAGATAGTTTGGAAATTGATGGCAATGAACTTTCTAGCTACAACTCAAGAGTACTTGCCATTTTGATTAATAGGATACAACATATTTTAAGATTCCAAATCTAATAAAGAATATACCTTAAATTGGGGCACCTTTTACCAACAGATGAAAGAATGCATAAGAGAGTGAGTTACACCTGAGCAAATTCAATTTTTGGATATGCGGCCCAAGAATGATGGTTATTGAGGACTCATACAACCGGAGACAATCAATAGCTACCCTCTGTAGCCCTTATAATTTTGGGGCAATCCAATCCAGAATCTTGCCATTCAGTGAAAGTGCCTATTATTCCAGGCACTTTTAACTAAGCATCCCCTTCAATGATATTCAAACATAAAAACCTCCAACAAGAAAATGTATTTGTTCTTTTCAAAAAGAATAGCATGGTCTGTTACTGTGCCAAAGCAATTTCAACCACACACAGATAATAAATTTCAAAAAGATTCTTAAACGCAAAAAGGGCAGCCAAGATCATCTCAACTAACCCTTTAACTTATTAAATATAAACAAAAATAAGGAGTTATGCACATAATTATCTGAAAATGAATGCTTACAGAGAGATCGAGAGAGCGGATAGTTGAAAGCGCTTGAGAGAAACAATTGAACGGAGACCCTGGGAAACGCAAGCCAGTGAACAAAGTGATTCCAAGTCTAGTTTACTCAAAATTTTGCTGAAAATAATGGCGTCTGGGAGTGGCACTCCCTCCAATGGCAGTACACCACCTTCAAACACGCAGTGTCGGGGTTTATACAGGAATTCTTCTCGATGTTATTCATGGGAAATCAAGAAAGTCACAGATGTAAAAGGAGACCGACAATGGAAAACATATTGGGAAAAAACTGCAATTTAAAAGTGAGATGGAGCCAAAGAGTTAATCTCAATAATTGCCACTAACCTTAGGTGTTTGTATCTAACTCCGACCTACGATTGCAACATAGAAGAAGCTGAAAATGGGCTGAAATTTCTAGGTCTTTATCACTCGGACAAGGCTAGATGATGGGTTATTTTAAAATTGACTCACTCAAATCACCTTAATTTTACTTGATTTCTCAAGACTTATCCAATGTTATGGACAAAAATACGCTTAAATACATTATACAATTACAAAAATTGTTTTTTATAAATGACATCAATACCTTTTTACTTAACAAATGAAAATCAAACACTTCATACTTTTCTTATCTGTTTACTCCAATATAGAAAAATAAAACAGTCTCATTCTTCATCTGCTTCAATTGCAGAAACTAAAAAATTTATCGAAATCGAAAGTCGAAAAATTTGTGGACATCAATCTCGTCGGTTCGGTAAGTTTATATACGCGAATTTAATCTTGTTTTCGTTAAATTATTATATGTTTAAATCGATAAATTGTATTTCGACATTTAACGGTAATGTAGATAAAAAAAATTAATAGATTCGTAATTTTTTTAAGTATTTGACTAGAAAAAATTCATCTGCAGATACATTGTCAGAACGGCCCAGTGCAGGCCGGTGATTTGACTGTTTGTCAATTGTTTTCTTTTCCCTCCCCCTTTTTTAGGTTATTTTTATTGCTGTTAATATTTTTCTTATAATTAAAAATTCTATTTTGACATGCAGATATGGTTGTAGTCTTAGTTTGTTACTTTGGTGATTTCGAGTTGGACGAAATAGATCAATGGGTATGGAAATGGAAAAATGCTAAACGTGATGATATCGCAATTTTCATATTATCAGGTACATCGTATGCAAAACTCTATGATGATTTACAGAATAAGTTGAATATTGATCATTCTTAGTACAACATGAAATTGAAATTTAAATTCAGCGAGTATGCATCACTTCCTATTCCACCTATAATAATTTCTTATGTTGATGAAGTGAATTATTTGATTGAATTGAACAATAAGCACACGACTCCTCCTTGTGTGACTTTAGTAAGGAAGGATGTCGTCAAAAATGAACAAGTAGACTCAAGAGGTGGGGATCACAATGCTAATGATTTTTGGGATATGGTTGAAATAGCTCGTGAAGATGATGTGGTTATTCCAGAGATAGTTGCACACAGAATCCCCTCCATAGCTCATGACAACGAGAACGAAAATACAAATACTTTTACAAACGAGAACTTGATTGCTTTATCCCGGCAGAGACAAGAGTGGGGTGGGACCTCGGGGGCTAGATCGAGTGGACCATCCTCTAACTCCTCACGTGTGGTTCCCGATAATGAGAATTTATATGTCGAGCAGCTGTTTGAAATGAAGAAAGATTTGCAAAAAGTCGTGCACCTAATTGCACTGAAATACAACTTTAAATTTAGAGTGAAAAAATCGAATATATCGTTGTTGACGCAATCATGCATAGATGATAGTTGCAGTTGACGTTTGCAAGCGATGAAAATGGACACGAATGAGTGCTTCGTGATTCGCAAATATACACGAAAACATACTTGTGAAGTGAGAGTTTATTGCAATGATCACAGGCAAGCCCAAGCTTGGTTTATTGGTCGATAGATAATGCACAATTATCAGGATCCACGGACAATCTACAGACCATCGAATATCATTAACGACGTTCGTCGAGAGTACGGAGTAGTCATGAGCTACCAGAAGACTTGGAAGGCCAAAGAATGCGTGTTGGAGGATTTAATGTGCTCGGCAGAGGAAAGCTATGCTAAGTTGGCCAGGTATTGCTATAACATGGAAAAAACTAATCCTGACTCGGCAATTTTTATTGAGATGGAGGTCGAGAGCTACTTCAAATTCTTCTTTATGGCTCTTGGACAATGCATTCGGGGATTTCAAAATGTTATGCGACCCCTAATTCTAGTCGATTGTACAACTCTGAAATCCAAATACCAAGGCAAGTTGATTATTACTACATGTCAAAATGTCAACATCCAAATTTACCCTCTTGCATTCAACATAGTTGATAACGAGAATGATCTATCGATTCGTTGGTTCTTCACAAAGCTCAGGGAAGTAATCGGGGAAGTCAAGGACCTTGCCTTTGTAACCGATAGGGGATAGTCTATAATAAATGGTATTGCTGAAGTTTTTCCCGATGCACATCATGGGTATTGCGTGTACCATATACAAGGCAACTTCAAGACTAGGTATCGGGCCAAAGGCATCGTTTCATTGTTTAGGAGAGCGGCTGAAGCTTACAGTATTGAAGAGTGTAATAGGTATATGGTTGAAATAGGAAGCAAATCATTCCCGACATGGGACTATCCAATGAAAATGGGGATTGAACATTGAGCACGCTCATATTTTCCAGGACGTCGATATAACATGATGACGTCAAACAATGTGGAGTCTCTCAATGCATTATTTAAGAGAGATCGAGACTTACCCATTCTCGCACTAATTGAGAATATCCGTACGAAACTGCAGCAGTGGTTTTCATGATCGACGTGCGAATCACATAATTGCATAAGCGTGCTAGTCCCGACGCAAAAGGTAAAGCTCTTCAAGGCTGCAGAGGCTGGGAGAAAGTTAAATGTCGAACCACTAGACGACTCACGCTTCTCTGTGGAATGTGCACATCATACGACATACATGGTAGATTTGACTGATGGAACATGCACTTGTAAACAATTTTTGTTAGAAAGTTTTCCATGCGAGCATGCAGTTGTGGTGGCTATGTATCGAGGATTTACAGCGAGAACATTGTGCTCTCCTTATTACACTACCGAAAACTGGAGAGCTGCATATGTTGAAACCATATTTTCGCTTCCAGACGAAGCCGAGTGGAAAGTTCCCGATCATATTCGCCCGTTCAATACATTGTTGCCACCTCTCATTGAACCACGTGGTCCTAAATGTCAAAGTACTTCTAGAATACTATCTACTAGAGAGTTTCCCTGACCGCTTAGGTATAACAGGTGCAAATCAGTAGGACATACTCGTCAATTTTGTACAAATCAGTTCTCTTATATTCAGATTTCAGCTCGTATTTACATTTAAATAAACAGTATTTACAGCAGCATAATCAATATTCAGATTTCAGCTCGTATTTACATTGAAATAAATAGTATTTACATTGAAATAAACAATATTTACATGAATAATTATAAACAATTACGAAAAATAATTACAAATAATTACAAATATTAATTACAAAAAATATTACACATAATTTATGGATCACAATTAAATTCATATAAATCACACGCTAACTTATTTCGTTAATTCTGTATTCATGACTGGTTGATTCCATCAACCTTATGTGCTATACTCAAAAATTCTATGTATTTGATTGTCAAAATCTCACAGTCACCCCTGCAAGTGAACAAACATGTGTTACTTCGGTTCAAATTACGTATGAACTGATTACTAAATTTTAAAAAAAATTACAAAGACTTAGGATATAGACTGTCTCGCCGTCGTCGTGTCCCGCAAGATGGATAGTTTGTCCTCCACAGTCAAGCCCGCATGTCTAGCCATCAGAGGAACAATCATAGTCAGGCATGAATGATCGAGATCGTACACATATATCGTCAAATCAGGAAACATAATCTCCAGTGCAATGCAGTGTTAATTCACGATCACTAGAATGTTCAAATGCGTAAAACCCTCCCATGGCTTTCCTCCAACACTCGGTGACAACCCGATGACCCACTCGAGCATATACATGGGAAGCACGTACTCATTACCTAGAAGCTGGAGCGACTGATACTCAATGGTAACGGCACGCAAGAACTCAGTGTTCAGTATTATGCGGCCAAGCATGTGGAATGATTGTGGATATCTCTCAACTCGATCACGCAACAAGTCCATGGCCATGTTGATGTGCTACATCAAGGAAAATCAAAGACATAAATACTTATTTCATTTACCAAATTAAACATAATGTATACAAAAAGTAACAATAACACTTCACTTACATCATCGGCGAGCCAAGCCCCCTGAGTGGTGATATCATGGAACCTCTTGTATGCGTCCAATATCGTCCTTCCGGCTATCATGTGTGTGGCTCTGGAAGTAAAATAGAAAAAATGTTAAACGAAGTATATACGAGTTCTGATAGTCTACTAAATTATGCAATACTTACCCCGGGCAACATTCTTTGCCACTCAGCCTCGAATGCTTTCCACTTAGCATGGTTGACCTCCCGGAATAGATTGGGGTACGTCCCATCGACGAACCTCCTCATTTTCACCTCAGCCATGAAGGGAGAGACGACGTACTGTGACGGCACTCTCGGCCTCTAGCCGACCACCGTCTCTGGCATGTCAACAACACACTTTTTTACATTATACACTGCCACCTCCTCCACCCCAGGGCTCGCCACCTCCTCCATCCCCTCATCTGTCACCGTCTCCGTCCCCGACAGGGCCATTCCCTCATTTGTCACCATCTCTGTCTCCGACGTGGCCATTCCCTCATCTTCCACCGTCTTTGTCCCCGACGGAGCCATTCTCTCATCTACCATCATCTCCTTCCCCGATGGGCCCCTCTCCTCTACCACTGCTCCTATCCCATCGCGCTCGATGAATAAAATAAATGATTCCCATGTATAATCATCATGCATGTATGACTACAGGAGATCCCCATCTCTATCATCCCCTCTATCACCCCTTCGATCACCGTCTCCATCAACCCATCGCTTACCGACTATATCACCTCGAAGTGTTGCAATCTCATCTTCTAGGTCCGCACAATGGCCACGCAGCACTCTAACATCATTAGACAAATCTTCAACCCTTCCTACCAACTATCGTTCCAGATTATCAACCCTCTCTATCATCTGTCAACCCAGCTTGTCGACCTGCTCCGCTATAAATCTGCTCAGATGGGCATATAGATCATCAAAATAATGTCCCTGACTATGTGCGGGAGATCCACGGGAAAGGTCTCTAGACAGGGGAGGCGGAGGTGGTGATGCCCTCGGTGGAGATGATTGTCGATCAACTAGATCACGCTCCTACACAAGCAACAACATTACAAATTATTAACTTAATCCATAATTGCTAACTCATACAAAATTGTTATTAATAGATTTTATTCAATTCACTCACCTTATCTCGGTCGTGGATCGGATCGGACATCTGATCGTCTTGGGTGTGCGAAACGCCTAATTCACACACGAGACCCTGAGCCTCCTCCTCCATCGATGGCGTCAACTCAATTATGACTTCAAGCTGACATATTAACATTTGAACTAGTTAACGATCATACAATCAGATGTTAAATCACGCACAAATATAAATTACAAATACATAATACTCATTGAGGGTCGTCAAAGATAGCCGATAATTGTTTCCCAATGGGATATCCCTCCTATCGAGATGCTCTCAATGGTACATCCGAGGGCAGCGTATCTCCATCTTCTCACAAAGCAGGCACCCAATATGGGGACGGTCTCATATGCCCAGATCTGCAACACATACAATTATTATATAAAAATTCAATATGAAAATAATTTTAACATTCATTATGTTAACCATTTACATGTACCGCTAGAGGCAATCCATAGGTGTCGTACTTACGCATCGACTTCGAGTGCGATTTGGTGAAGACGTGTATGGTGTCCTCAAAACATCTTCGATCACACGGATAGTCGTTGAAACGATCGATGTCGTCAATAATATCTAGATGGAAAAGGTCGATCGCAGTCTTCTTATGGTGACACCGCACCACACTCTCAAATATGTAGACCAGACCTAAGTTCAGTCTCTCTAACATCTGATCACACCTCTTGATTGCGTCCAACAGCTATGTAAGAAGCATAGTTCTCCCTCGAAGTAAGCGTCATGAAGCCTATTTCTTCTCTGAGTCCCATCACTAGCAACTTCATCACTCGTAATCTTTAATCCCGTGATCAGAGCAAACTCGAACATTGAAAAATTGGCGACTTTACCCCTGACTGCGAAGTGGAGGGTATCGCTGTCAATTGAACTTAGCAATCGACATAGAAGTGCATTAATAATCTGACTCGAGTACTGCAGATCTCTCAACAGGTACAAGGGCCACAGGAAAGACTGACGCAGCATATCGGCATGCTGATCATCGAACAGCTCTAACATAGTAGTAAAACTGTTAAAGCTACTATTCCATGTAACTTTGCCTGGCATCTGTCTCAACTCTACATCAAGATAATAATTCATCCTGTAAAAATTCAAAATATTATAATATTGTACAAGTGATAATAGAATAAAGCATAATAACAGAAAACTTAGCGAATGAAATTGTAATTACAATACGAAAGACGCAGATTCATAATAATTAAAATCATCAATAATGTGAATTTTTTTTATCCTATTATCAATAATGTCAATTTTTTTCAATTATCAATATTTTTTTAATCAATTCAAGTTCAAAAAATATTTAAATTCGATGAACAAAAATAATATTATTTATCAAAAACTAATAATAAAAATAAAAATAAATATTAAATTTCAAATTAAATTTCCAACAATTATTTCAAATTACAATAAAAAAATTAATTAAATTTGATCGATGAAAAGAATATCATCCAAAACTATTAATAAAATTAAAAGTAAATAATTTATTTAAATTCGACGACTAAATAAATTATTATTTACAGAAAACTAATAATAAAAATAAATATTAAATTTCAAATTAAATTTTCAACAATTATTTCAAATTACAATTAAAAACATTAATTAAATTTGATGAATGAAAAGAATATCATCCAAAACTATTAATAAAATTAAAAATTAAAAGTAAATAATTTATTTAAATTCGACTACTAAATAAATTATTAGTTATCAAAAACTAATAATAAAATAAATATAAAATTTAAGTTCACAATTAAAATAATTATTTCAATTCGATGAATGAAAAAATTATTATTTATCAAAAATGAGAAAATAAAAATAAATATTAAAAAAATTAAATGTAAAAATTTTATTTAAATTTAGTCGTAAAATTTTATTTAAATTCGATGACTAAATAATTTATTCTTTATTAAAAAAATAATAAAAATTATCTAAACTTAAATTATATGTAAAAAAAAAATTGGACCGAAAAATTTAGAAAAAGAGGAGTGGGCCAACAGTCGGCCCACTAAGTTGGGCTGACTTGACAGTCAGCATGGGTCGACTGTTAACAGTCGGGTTTTAGCAAAAAGAGCCGGCTACACCAGCAGTCAGACCTTTTTCTCGTCGGAAAATCACCATTTTCGACGAGAAAAGTTTCCAAATTTAAAAAACCAACCATTAAAACACTATATAAACCTTATTTTACTTATATAAAAAAACAATATATTGAAAAAATCTCTCACAAAAGAATCATTCACACCTTTTACCAAAATCTAAACATAATCCAACCAAACATTCGATATAATAGTGGTTACCTTAATAAGAAGTAGTTCGCCAACGATGAACTAGCAAGTTCTCCGACTAACTGGAAACCGATCATTTTTTTTTCAGTTTTGTGCGACTGTTAAGCAAATGGAAAGAGGATAGTCGAGGGGTATTTTGGGATTTTAAGTTTTAAATTCATTTTTTGTTTTTTTTTTTAATTAAAAAGGAGGTCAAATGTCACTTTGGAAATAGGGATGGATTATCCGATCTTTTTCAACAATTTCTTCCAAGATGATGTGATTTTTGGTGTGGATTTCCACAACAACAACAACAACAAAAAATGAAAAAACAAAGGAAACAATAAAAATTTTTTTGGGCCCCTTCAGATTCTGGGCCGAGGCCGAGGCCTCTTGGGCCTCTCCTCAAGTCCGGCCATGTGAACCAAGGAGCGCACCTATTCGTGGGAGTTTAAGAATTGAGTGAGGCTATTTTGGTTTGGGAAGGAAGAGCAAAACCCTAGAGAACAATTGCGAGAGGCAAAAACTTATGGGAGAGAGAAAGAGGATATGTGAGAGTGTGAGAGAGAGATAAGGATTGGTATTTAATTTGGATTGTTTCTTGTGTTTTTAGTTTTCAACATGTTATGTACTGAAAACACTCAAAACGTCAAAAATGATGTTTTGAGTTTTCAGCACAATATTTTGTTTTGTTTTCCAAAATTCATTTTCAAAAATAGGAAAGAGAATGCGTTTCTACTGTTTTGAAAAATTGAAAACAGAAAACGATATGAAAACAAAGAGAGCAGCCCCTAACCTATCAAATAGGCCCTAAATGCTTTTGTATTTTTTAGTTAGACCCATTTACGCTATCTGAAAAGTTGTGAGACTACTTTTATAACTTTTTTTCTTTTTCTTTTATGGTTGTTTTGCTGTTTTATTTTATTTTTGTTTATTTAAAGAGCTACTTTAGCAATCAAAATAGATGGAAGTGTGAACTTTGCTACTTAATTGAAAGGTATGGGATGGATTCAGCTAATAAGATTGGTTAAGAGGTAATTTAAACTCTTTCCTGTGTTGTCTATAGGGTTGTTGAATGTGTTAATTAAATTGAACTTGGAGATTTGTTCTTTAACCCCCGGGGTCATAGGTCTAATTCTTGTGCCAAAAATACTGTTTGATCTTCTTCACATTTCCTGCGTTATGATCTAACTTTCTCGTTTCTTCGTCGCTTTATTTGTAATTTTAAGTATGGTTCATATACAGTTGATTACTTTTAGATTTTCTTATGCCACTCTCTCTTCCAGCTATTTTAATTCTACTGCCTACCGTAGTTCTTCACAAACCAAAAATCTTGGCTCCACCACCGAATATAACAAACTTGCTTTATCCATGAATTTCAACCTCATAGCCCATAAGTGCAAGCCCTTCAATTTAGCCTCCATTTGTCAAATTCATAAATCATTTGTAAATTGTTCGAATTTCATTATTAGTGACACATTTTAATGGATCAACAAGTACTAACCAATTGTTTATTACTCATTTATATAAATTCTTCCCAAACGAAGGCTTAAACAGACGCTAAGTGATAACAGCTCAAACAAAAGTCAAAGACTTCATCAAATAACACATGAAAATTAAAACAGTAAGACATTGAGCACTAAGATGAAACGGGTTTCTCAATAATTGTATTGACCAAAAGAGTGTATACTTTATAAATGGAAACTAGTCTAAAATAGAAAAGTGAAAAATGGAAATCATTAGTATTTTAGTATCACCATTTTTCTAGTTGTATTTTTTATTTTATTTTAAAAAGGCCAGCCGTTCAGGCTTGTATTTACGTCCCCGAAGTGAAGAAAATCCCTTAACATAATCTAATAAGAGACAATTTTATTTTTTTCCTTTGTCAACCACTACAGATCCTTACAGAAAAAACATAATTCATATTAAGATGACGTTACATGAATGCTACCATCTTTAAGCTTAAACTGAAAACTATTTTCCTTGGCCTTCCAGTCAATATGTAGTTACCCGATTAATGTGCTTTTTGCAATATTGATTGTGAGGCATATGACAGAACATTTGATGTAGTACATTCATCGTAATGCTTTCCTCCGAGTCAGTATGAGTCCTTGAGTTATAAATCTGCTGCCAAATGTGAGATATTTCACCTCATCAAGGTTGTATTCGTAGCAGATATTTTCTATCACTTTCAATTTAAATTGTATGATCTTCCAAGGAACTATAATCAAGGTAGGCAGTATGATTAATACCGCAACTGCACATGGGATAAATGGAGCTCCTGCACCTGGGTATATTCCCCATGCCAATGCTGAATGGCTTATGGAAAATAGAACAAGACATGGCAAGAGAAAGAGGCAGAGTGGAGCAAATGTAAGTATTGCACAGGTTCCCATTGCAAGACCAAAGGCAATTGTGTTGTAAATCATACTTACTTCTGCTAGCCTTAGGGTTTTTTTGTTGAAGTTGGTGCTAGTTGAACTGGTTGAATTAATATCATTATAAGCAGATGTGATGCTGGGAAAAACAAGAGTGGTATCATTGTGAGAAATCCCAAAAGGGGAAGTGAAAGTGGCTTCAAACGCAGCAGTTGCAATAAGCACAACTACTACTAGGACAGCGTTTTGCATATTTCCTGACAAACCGAACTCCAGGTAAGCACCAAATTCGATAAAAAAATCTTTTAACGTTCTATTTGACTTCAAATAATTTTCACAACTGGTGGCATTACCGTCAAGATATGCACCTTCTTTAGCTCCTGCGCTTATTAAAATTTTCCTTGCTTCTACATTTTCAGGATTCAGGATATCCAATGCTGTCTTACCTTCTAAGTTCTTCTTATTCACGTGCTCATACCCGATTAATGACTTCATAACCTGAAACCATAAACAAGAAATTTTATAAAATTATAACTGTTTACTAAACAATACTTGGTTTAAAGAAAAATGAGAACCATTTTATTTTATTAATTTCCGGTATTTTTAACTAAGCGAATTTATAGATAAGCTTCCAGCATGATGTATCAATTTGAAAGAGTATCAACTATTGAGTAAATTGAGTTTTGATCATGATCACAATCCTCTTCAAGTTTTAGTTTGACATCGAGATAATTTTGATGTTTCCAGTCAAACTTGTAGGTGTGAAAGGTGGGTTAGGACTTTGATCTTTAATTTTATTTTTATAAATTCTGGAATGTTAAAAAAATTGATAATAATAATAAAGTCAAGTAAAAAATTACAGATTTTGGAAAAATGGAGTTTTTAGGCTCGGTTGCCCATTAATCAGCAAAAATTTCAATAAATCCGTTATACAAACTCGATCACCTGTTCTACTTCATTCATTCTGCTTTTTCATAATCCTTTAATTATATTTTATTATGTTTAATTTTATTTAGTAAGCTAGAGTTTCAAGCCATCATTTGATTGTTATTCTTTTATGATGTCAGTTGTTTGCTGAATATTTGAGTAATAATATTATTTATCTAAGACAGTATATTCCACATAGTTATTTTGACAGAAAAATAATAAAAATTCAAAATTCTTGAAATTGGAAAATAAAAACATACTTTATACAGTAGCAAAAGTTCAAATACTTGTATAAAACCAAATGACCTTGGAAGTACCGTTGAACCAAGGGATACACTTTGCATGATTTACTCATCGACGAGGTGGAAAGTAACATGTGAAGGGCATGAGGATGCAAAAGGCTCGTGTTGGGTTTTGATACCCAATAAATCCCAACGATGATTTTAAACAATTCGGATTATATTTCATAGGCCTCTACCGATGAGTGAAATATTTATCATCCAATCAATTCATATGCTTGACCCAAAAACAACATGGACCACTAGTAGCAACTTAATAAGTTTTAAATATTGCCTTAGTCCAAGTTCACTTATAGGGGGGCTTCCTTGTGTCTTTGCCCAATTGTTGTTATAACCTATATATATATATACATATATATATATATATACATATATATATATATATATATATACATATATATATATATATACATATATATATATATATATATGTGTGTGTGTGTGTTTGCCCTTTGTTTGAGAAGAAAGAACCAGCTACCTCTTTTTGATTTCCTTCAAGCCCTTGCCTTCTTCTATCTTCTCTTTGCCTTTGTGGCTTGTAAATCAACACCATAGCCTTGTCCCTTTGTGGGTTAGAGTTGTGGGTTGGAGTTTTGGTTGGTTGGTTGATATTGATTGGTAAGTTTAATCCGAGCATGGATTCCACAAATTGAATATATATTCCAATACAATTGTATCAGAGCACGTTGGTGGTGGAATTCTGGCAAAAATTCGACCAGAATCGAAGCAGAAACTGGCCGGATCGAAATTGCACAAAAACTTGCAAAAGTCGAACCTACAACCTCGATTTTCGAGCAATTCAGAGGTCTTTTGGTGAAACGGAGATCGGGTTCTTGATCTACAGGTGGAGGTGGTGCCTGGTGGCAGGCTCATCTGGGTAACAGTTGTAGTCGGGGCATGGTGATTCCAGCGAGACACTTGTGGGGACATGTGGGCACGATTCTCGAGATGGTTTTTCTGATGGAATATTTCTAACGATTTTACGTTGTTAGTTTTCTATTTCAGGTTATATGATAAAATCTAGACTATTTTGCCCCTGTGCGTTTGTGGTTCAATTTTTACTCGATTGGTTGCTACAATTCTTAGAGACTTTAGGATGAATAGTACTAGTCCTAAAGTGATAAATTTGCATATCTCATAAATTATAGACTTGGATTGGTCCACTCTGGTATATTAGCTTATCCTTGTTTAAATTTCAGCATTATCGTGTCATCTTGTGGGGTAACATTAGGAATGGGTTACCATGAAGGGGTAATCATTGCTTGTGCTAGAAATTTAGAAGTTATTTGTCATATTTGAAGTGTTGAATTTGATTGCAAGTAGATAATTGATTTTGTACTTTAACTGTCATATAGTTAATGTGTGAAATTGCATTGCGTGAATTTGAATTTTTTGTTAACATACATTCGTGTTGTACTAATTATCCTATTAGAATACTGGACTTGACCCGTTTGAACATTCCCTTGATTTAATATCGTGAATTTTACGAAACCTTGAGAATTTTAGAACGTTGTATATTGCAGCCTTAAGATTACTTTGTATGACCTATCTATACATTTTAGTTGTTCTGTTTTCTTAAAATGTCTTCATATTTTGAAATTGAAATTTTTAATGAGAAAGGAGATTTTTCTATTTGGCAACAAAAAATGAACGGGATTTTGGTTCAACAAAAAGTTTTAAAAGCCATGGATGACAAATATCCTGCAAAGCTGACAGAGGCACAAAAAGAATAATATGATAAATTCGTTTACACTTCAATTATTTTACACCTATCTGACATTATTTTAAAAAGGGTTGGAAAACCTGATTCTACAAAAGAATTTTGACAAAAGTTGGAGGACTTATATTTGTTTAAGTCCACTCTTAAAAAATTGTACTAGCTTGAAAGGTTTTTCAATTTTAAAATGGATCCTTTAAACAATATTAATGAAAATTTGAATGCTTTTAATAAATTAGTTCAAATTATTGTCAATTATGATGTAAAGGTTTCTGAAACGTATAAGGTCATTATTCTGTTTAATTCTATGCCTAATTCATATAGCGAAGTTAAGAATGCAATTAAGTATGATAGGAACACCACAACACCTGAGATTATCATAGACTCCCTTAAGTGTATGGAGATGGAGATTAAGATTGAAGAGGAAGATAAAATGAGTGGTGAGTAATATCGAGTAGTGATTCGAGTGATGAGGGTGGTAAGAAGAAGAGCAATAGAGTTACACTCTAGTGATAGACCGTTTTACAGTTGTGGTAAGTCTGAACACTTTATTAGAAACTGTCCCAAGAAAAAATATTTGCAGAAGGGTAAGATGAGAGGTGGGGAGAATTTGGTTACAGGGTCGAGTTATGACCATAGTGAGGTTTATTGAAAGTAAACCTAGTTACTGCATATGTGTGATTGCCTAATTTTGTTGCATAATTATATGCTGCATTTCGTTGTATTTGACATGTGCGTTTGGATGAATTTGAGGCAATGTGATTACTTGATGTAATTGCTTGCATTCATAATAGGTTAGGATGCATTAGTAGTGTGGTGTATGTCTTTTAGTAAGGTGGAGCTTTAGATGCCTAGGGGTACATTATGGTTTTTATCGGGATGTAGAATGTGACATTTGAATTACGAGTGGAGAGATAATTAAATGTCTAGAATCATTTATCTGTAAAGAGATCCTGATCAAGTGGAGTATGAGAGAAACACTTCTACCACTTCTATTAGGTAAAGACCCATTATCCACATTGGATGGGAAAAGTGATGTGGTGATAGAGGATTATCCCATGTGTTTAGGATCTATTGTGACTTACCAGTTAAATATGAGTTGAGTGGTCAGTCTAGTAAGCATGGTAGGCGATGAGAGGGGATATATGTTTTCGAGGTATGAGCAACATGGAATGAGATAGGATAAGTGTGGTAAGATCCTTTCGTGGGGTCATTTATGCATTTGTCACATTTGCGTTGGCCATTTTTGGATTAACTTGGTGTTAATCTATTGTTTTATGTGAACATGATTTTTTGAAAAGATATGTGTGTGTGATCGTGTATTATATCTTCACTGCATCATTATTTATTCTTGATTGATTATTGTAAATATTTGTTTCTACTTAGGTGTTCTTGACTTTAGCCTTAGTGAGTCTATGGAGCAGGTATGGTATGTATTTCAGGTTTGAAACACGAGGTAAGATCTGTGATTCCAATTTTATTGGTTATCTTGATTATGCAAGTGCTAACTGTGTGTTTTGATTACTTGCAGATTGATTGGGCATTAAAGTAGAGATTTGTTAGGTTTTGATTCCCAATAAATCCTGAACGATATGTTATACAGTTTTGGATTCCATTTCATAGGCTTTGGTTGATGAGTGAAATAATTATCATCCAATCAATTCAAATGGTCGACCCGAAAACAACATGGACCACTAGTAGCAATTTAATTGGTTTTAGTGTTGCATTGACCCAAATTCACTTATAGAAGGGCTTCTTTGTGTCTTGCCCCATTATCTTGTGTCTTAGCCCAATAGTTGGTATAACCTAAATCTATATATATACCCATTCTTAAGTGTAGAAGTCGTGTGTATATTTGCCCTTTGTCTGAGAAGAAAGAACCGGCTACCTCTTTGTGATTTCCTTCAAGCCCTTGCCTTCTTCTATCTTATCTTTGCCTTTGTGGCTTGCAAATCACCGCCATAGTCTTGTCCCTTTCTAGGTTAGAAAGAAGGAATGCAACCACAAGTGAATAGAGTTGTGGGTTGGAGTTTTGGTTGGATGGTCAATATTGATTGGTAAGTTTCATCTGAGCTTGAAATTCGCAAATTGAAGATCTATTCCACTACATCATGCCTAAGAGTTACAAACTATTTTTCATAAGCAGACTAACAAAAGACTGCCAATAAGAAGCACATGGACAAATGAATAAAGTGTGACTCCTAACCGAAACAGTTACAAAATAACCAATAAGGAGTCGCGATTTTGCACAACTTGAAAATGACCAAACAATCACAACACTTGGAGAAAAATCTATAACTACCCTCACATTTGAGGAAAGAGGCATGCAAAGAAATATCTTTATTTCAAATAGTTATTTCTTCTGTTGTTTTAGTTGAAGCATCAAAACTAGTAAATTTAGAAGACGAAAGCCATAGTTAAGTGAGAAAATTTGTTAATTGTATTTACATTGATATTCGATTATAATTGTTTTGTCAATAAACTCGTTTAATTCAAGTTGCATTGTCAACAAGTACCAATTTTATTCATAAGGGTCAAAATTAATAGTTTAATGATGGGTAATTGGATAAACTTGTCAAATTTGTAGTCAATATTGTTTCGAAATTAGAATTATACCAAGTTTACCAAATACCTAAATTATTATGATTGTTTTACAATGAAAATTTGGGGCTCTAAATGTGATCTCACACTAAGCTTAAATGTTGTTACCATCCATTTGTACTCTAAACCTTGAAATCGATTGAAGATCTAGTGTATGAGACTCCATCAAAGTAGATCTCAACTAGGATGCGGGATTTTTAATTTTTTTATGGTACATATTTTTTAAAATGCATTTATTTTCAAAATAATTTTCGGAAAAATTGCAGCCAAGTTACCAAACATTTCATTTATTAGAAGACTTTGCATAAACCTTTTATTTATATCACCACGAATACCAAACCTTTAAAAAATTGCAGCTCAAGTCCAAAATGACGGTTTTCGTTAGTTTAACTACCAAAACAATCAGTTGACACCCAAAATAAAAAATAAATAAATTATTATTTTTCTCAAATAAGGCAGGACATTTTGGATAAAACACATTTTCTCTATTAAATAAAAAAAATTAAAAAAAAACCTACAACCCATCCCTATCTTCTTCTTCCCTAAAATCAAAAGCATGGTAGCCACCACCGCCCCACCTAATACTAACAGCCATCACTACCCACCCAACATCAGTATCTCCATTCTCTATTCTTTCAATATTTTTTTGCATTTTTTTATAATGGTAGTTTGACATTATTTTGATACATCTGTGCTGAAAAAGTGTACAATTCTTTTGTTAGATTTCTGTATAATATGAGCTAATTTGATCACCTAGAAGCTTTTAATTGTGTGACTTTTGGAAATATGAGGTTTTTTGGTTGGTATTTGGAGATAAAAGGAGAAGAAAAGTTAACCTATAGTGGGGTAATTGAAGTTGAAAATTTGTACTTACATCGCACTTCAGAGCAATGAAAAGTGAAGTGTAGAAATGGGCTGTGGGATTGTTCTATATAATCTTAGTTGCAACTATATGGATTGCTGCTAGTTTTGCGATACAGTCTGTTGTAGATGGAGGTGTGTCGCCATTTCTTGTAATGGGTGAATTGTTATAGATGTTGGGTGAAATGGGTGAATTGTTTTCCCTTCTCCTCAGCTAGCTAGGGCTTGCGGTTGTACTGGAGGTGGCTGTTGGCGGTGGCTGTGGAGTGGTTTTGATTTTGGGGAAGAAGAAGATGGGGATGGGTTGTAGATTTATTTTTTGATTTTTTTTAAATCTTTGATATTTTATTTAAAATGCCCCTGTCTTATTTGGGGAAAATTTTGAAGTTTTTTTTTTTATTTTGGGAGTCAACTGACGATTTTGGTATTCAAACAAACAAAAATCGTCATTTTGAACTTGAACTGCAAATTTTTTAAAGGTTTGATACTCATGGTGGCGCAAACGGGAAAAAAGGGCAAAAACTGCTAATGAACGAAAGGTTTGGTACCTTGGCTATAATTTTCTATCAAACATTCTCATATTACAATAATTTTGCACATGAATCCATAATTTTTCTTACTTTTTAATCACAATTCCTTCAAAAATATTATTTTTTATAAAATATATTCCCAAAAAATCTTACGTCAAACGGGCCTAAGAACGAAACTAGATAAAAACTTTGTGTTCTTTGCTTCAGTACTTGGGATTTCTAGGTTCAATAATGTCAATGGTTTTGACAAACCTCACATGGGCCCTATCGTCGCTTCCTAGTAGGGGGTTGGGTTCAGCTTCAAGTTTAATAAATGAATTATTTATTGATGAAAGTTAATTGAAGGAGGTTTAGTCAAAGGAACATACCTGCGGTTGGTTTGCTAAAGCTGCAAGATGCATCAACGTATTGCCTTCCTTGTTTTTCCAGCTAAACACCTCCTTAGAATTGGTCTTCCCAGCCCAACCAAACAAAACCAAAAAAGCTCTAAAATTGTTGTTTCTTACAGCAATATGCGCAGCAGTCTCATCTCTAACCGTCAAGTCATGTATTGAGTGTGGACATACGAGAAGAAAATAAATCAAAAGATCAATTTCCTCCTTTTTCACTGCGTAATGCAAAAGAGTGATCCCTTCCCTCCCTGGGACACGAACGAGGCCCGGATCATGCTTAACGAGTTGTTTCACAGTGTTGGTGTGTCCCTTATCCAAAGCCTTGTGCAGTGGACTAAGACCATCAAGGTTCAACTTCTTCCCCAGCGAAGGCTTTAGCCTCAAGATTTCAAGAGCAAGGCTAGTACGGCCTTCTGAAGCAGCAGTATGAAGAGTTGATTCCACAAATGGCATCTCATTGGGGACTTCCAAGTAGTCCGGATTATTGCGTATTTTTGTGTACAAGTGAACGATATCTGGATCTTCAGCGGTGTTCATTATGGAAACTCGAGATAGTTTAAAATTGAAAAGTGCTCTGAGTATTTCAATTGGATCTAATTTGAGTTTCTTTTTATAATTGATATCAAGAATTCACAAGAACGAACAATGGTCAAGATCAAGGTATCGTTGTCTTATATTTTCTTGTACACGACAATCCAATCAAATTTTTATTTTCCTCATTCTCCTTGAATTTTAATCTATTTTCTTCACCTAACAATTGAAGATTGTGACTTGATTGAATAATGTTTCTAGTAAAGTATTTAGAAGTATCATGTGGTCAACACGGATTAAAAATGTGATGACTCCGCTTTCTCGTGATGACCCCGCTTTCTCGTCAACTTCCATAGTTAATGAATTGCCTCTTCGTTGTTTTTTCTTCTATCCTATAGCATTGAATAAAATAAAAATCAAACAAGCCTCGTTATTTTCTCACTAACCAATAAACTTATATTATCCTCACCTAACGGTCAAACTCACTAATATATAAACAAGTGGAGTTTATTTGTATGACTAGATTGAATAATATTTCTAGTAATGTCGAAATAACATTAGTTTTTCAAGTGTGGCCCGCATGGATTAAAAATGTGATAACCCGATTTCTCATAGGCTTCCACAGTCAATGAATATTCTCAGTGTTGCCTTTTCTTCTATCCTATTGCATTAAATTAAATTAAAAATAAGCAAATGCATTACCTTCTCATTAACCCAATCAATTTAAATTTTCCTCGCCTAAGGGACAAACTCACTAGAATATAAACATGTGAAGTTTACTTGCACGACTAGACTGAATAATATTTTTGGTAAGTATTCCAAAAGGTAAAATAATTTTCAGGTCTGGTCGGTATGGATTAAAAATGTGATAGCCCTGCTTGCTCATCACCTTCCACAGTCAATGAATTTCCTTATTGTTGCTTTTTCTTCTATCTTATAGCATTGAATTAAATTAAAAATAAGCAAACGCTTTATCTTCTCACTAACCGAGTAATTACAATGGCAATTACAATTACAACATTATAATAAGTTTACAATTACAATTACAATTAAGTTTATAATTTTTAATTACAATTAAGTTCAAAACTTTATAATAATTGTAATTAAGTCCAAAACTTTTATGATAATTGTAAGTAAGTTTTAATACTTTATAGAGCTACCGCATGACCTAATTGGATATGGATTATTCAAGTTCGAATAATTAGATCATATTTAGTCGATCCTAGATTACATAATCTAATCAATAGTTTTTTTCTTTTTCACTAAAGGAAAAAGACCGGCACACTCGAAGTATATACAATTACAGAAGCCAATATATACTTTTTTCTCTAACCTTCCTTGCATGTATTTTTTCCCGTTTGAGATCCAATAACTAGATATGGGCATAAATGATTATTTTGCACCTCTACTTATTCTCACTAATTTATGTACCATTTTCTGCAATGGTCCCGTGAATCAATCACATATGTTGAAATTTAGTCGTTACTGTTGTCGATTTTATGCCGCAAGTGGACGGATCGTAACAAGTAGTAAATTTGACCTTTTGAGTCCGGATTATCGTTCCCATGATGACTATATTTTAGTATTCAATTTATTATTCCTAACTTCTATTTAATGAAAATAAAAAAATAATTGAACGTGATTTTTAAATCTAACTAGAAATTTCGTGAACGCAACAGAAAATTAGTGAGAATTCAATTAATAAATGTAGATTAGGGCGGAACAAATTCATCTATTGGTCACATTTACTTCTAACATCGTGATACATAAAATCAAAGTAGTGTTCGATCGAATTCTTCTATTGTATTCAACTTACCCCTCTCGAGTTCTTGTTGAGCCTATTTAATTAGTTTAATTTCATATCTCTATGCAAATTAAATTTAATTAAACGAAATAACAGTTCTAAAAATTTCAATTGGACCGCAGCAATTAATATATGTATCTCTACACGTTATATTAATTTACCGAATTTTAATATGTGGCCTAAACAAGAATCCGCATCTCTACATAATTATTGTTCACAAAATCATTGAATAATTGGCCAAAAAAATTCAAAGCATTAAAAACATAATTAAAATCTACACATAAAATATAAAAGAACAATAATCTCAAATAAAAGAAATAAAGGTCTCAAATTAGTTACATTGATCGCCCTAAAATATAATTTAACTACACATATTAATAAGAGAAAAACAAGAATTTATGGAAGACATCACCAGATTAATTGACAGAACGTGAAAAATTTGTAAAATTGAATCTACCGCGTGTTTTTCTCCAATTAATTCTTCCAAAACTGCCTCCTATTTCTCTCTCCAAAGGACCTGTCTGTGTCAATCACCTCTTTTTGCAAAGTGTTTGCTACCTCAAATTTCTTCTCTCTCTGTCAATGGACTTTTCTATCAAAATTGCCGGTCTTCTCTCCGTTGGTGTATATATAAAATAAAATCTCTAATAGCCACCAAATTTGACTAAAAAGGACTCTAGCTTTTATGCCAACCCGCCTACAGCCCTTTTATTTCACTTGAAGAAGGATTTTTATTTATGCATGCATGTAGATATCAAATCAACCACCAATTGATGCCATTAATAGTTAAATTATTCTTCAAGTGCTCCATCTTCCAAGGTAATGCAATTCAATCCTTGAATTCTTTTATTCTTGCAACTCAAGTCTTCTTTGATTCAATTCAAGTCTTTCACCTTCCAAAATATTCAATTTGATCTCCAAAGACTTCAATCTTCGATTCATGGTCCGGATCAACTATTAAATTGTTACAACTTGGTCTTCAACTTTTGGATTTCGCTCTTTTTTCGATTCATTCCTTCAATTCATTTTCCGTCATAAAATTTCACTTATTAAATATAAAAGACAAAAGTTTAGAATATAAATTTTCAGAAAAAATCATCAAATATCGCTATTTAAGGTACTGAATAAGTGTATAAAATACATTTATCAAATGCTCTCAAACTTAAACATTTATTTGTCCTAAAACAAAACTATAAACTAAATAATAATAGACACACAATTATGCAAAAATATTTGGATGGACAATCTAGCTTCTCACCTCAGGATTCAAGATTTAGTGTTTACTCCATAAGCATGTTTCAAAAAGTCACAGTACCAAACTAACATCCACCCTTCCAATATAAAATCGACGTGTGTGTGTGTGTGTGAAAAATTAAGTAGACATTAATGAATTCACAAGTTGTTTCAATTTCCAACCCTTAGTGATCAAATATGTTCTTACATCAATTGTAAGATTCACACACCTCCAAACTCGTTCTTTTCACTTATTTCCCAATGTGTGATCTAAGGTTGAATTTTTCATTACTATCACCACCCTCTCGAGTTTAGGTAGACGTTACTAGCTACAAGTCAATACTTCTGTGAATAGGGATTTTCCAATTATTTGATTGCTTCGACCTCCAAAACTCAACTAACTAATTGTCTTGCATCAAAAGTCAAATTCCCTCAAATAAGTGTTAGGGCTTAATCAAGGTATTTAGTGCTTTTGTTCTTTTCATGCACTTGCTTTTTCTGTTTTTCACAAGTATTTTTTTTTTATATTTTCTCCATTAAGCTTTCTCGATGACCTGTGTAGCAGGCTTTAAGTCAATGACTCCAAAACCAAATGATTTTAAGGCATAAGATTTGTAAATACCCTTACAGGCTACTGACCCGAGTCACAAAGAGAACATTTTTTTTTCAAGTGCAACTTCGTCTCAAGGTAGTATTTGATAGCCATTTCCATCTTCCACTTTAACCTTGTTTGACACTTTTTTTTTTTTTTTTTTTTTTTTTATCTAGAATTGAATTTCCATCTTTGGTGTCACATTAGCCATTTCCATGAATTCAAGGAATTGGTGAGAATTGCAATTCTCGGTTACTGTAGAATTTTTTTATTTTTTTGGCAATGGAAACAAATTCTAAGAATTATTGTAAAAAAAAATATTTTCTTTTAATTGATAATTTTCATGTAAAATAAGGCCAAACGAACACTAAAAGATAGATTTTTTTTTGGCAATGGGAACAAATGTCATCTCCAATACCAATAAATTATATCCCTTTAATTGATAATTTTCATGTAAAACAAAGCCAAACGAATACAAAAAAATACTTTTATTTCAACATTTTTCACATGAAAAATTATACCAATCAAACACAATAATTTATAATTCCCAGGAAAACAATTTCTAGGCAATTCAATTCCTTGAAATTCATTTTCTAGGCAATTCAATTCCATCTTTACAATCAAGCGGACCCTAATTGCATTCTAAATGACCCTTGTAATGAGCTTTTGGCTGATGACTCCCAAATCAGACGACTTTAGGGCGCTAGATTTTTACATACCCTTACAGACTTAATCACTCGAGTCATAAAGGTTTCAGAGAGAAGTTTAAAATTTTCAAATGTATATGCCTTGCTTAGTGCAATGCCCATTATCACACTTATTCAAATAAACCGACCTCTAATTTAAGACTTTCGTCGAGTTTTATCATATTAGTCTATGACAATCCACACATAAGTTTTCACACATGGAATCCACATTCACATCCGCATCTTCCAACAACTATAAAGATACCACCAAACTGTGCTAAATTTGGTCTAAGGGTAGATAATTTATTATGGTTTAGGTAAAGCATCTATGTCCCACTAGATCAACATATCAAAAGCAAGAAACAACTCATTTAATCACAATGTCAAACTCAATTCTAGTGCACTTGTAATATCAAATTTTGCAAGATTGAGCTTCAATTAGTCTAGTATGCATCTTGTCTACCAAATCTCAAATTAAATCATCATTGTTTGCCAGACTATCTAACCCACACAAGCACACAACTGAACAAAAAGAGATTTTCTTTTTATTTTTTGATTTTATTTTTTTATTTTTTTAAACAAACACACAAAAACATACAAAAACAAAAACTAAAAGTTTTTTCACCCCCAAACTTAAAATTGACATTGTCTACAATGTCATAAAGTATAAATAAGCACATAATGGGGGTAGGGAAGAAAAAGAAGAAGGTAGT